TACAAACATGAATAAACAGCATTTTCTCACAGTTCCGATCTTGACTGTAAAAGTTGCCTTGGCTGTTCCCTAACATTAAAGAAGTGACATACTCAGTCACGAAAACAGCATCTTTAGCAGGATATCTGCTACTAGGAGCTTATAGAGAAAAATAAGATGTATATTATTGAAGATATTATAAGTTGTATTCAGTGTCAGCTTTAAAGTATCTCTCTAGGATTCTGCTTGGGATTCTTCCAGAATGATAAAACTGACTATGTTACATAGAGCTATTATTTAGCGACTGAGTTTTATAAAGAAACCTCAATCGAGACTGTTATTCAATATTGTTAGGAATACATAAGCCTTTGCTCTGTTGATCAAAATATATTAATATTAGATGGTTTCTGATATTAAGCTATTAATTTTAGCAGATATATTTAGACACTTAAAATTATAAACCTAGTTCCTTTTTTCTGATAGGAGTAGTCAAACATATGAAAAGCCTACCAAAATCAATGAACTGGGTTGAAGCTCTAGATTTGTAAACACTTGTATGAGCCTGCATGCCTTTGATTTTTGCCTCCTGTCCTTGTAACCAGGACAAGGCCAACCACAGATTGGCTTAGGCCTTTGACACAAACTCCACTGCTGAGATAGTGGTAGTACCTCACTCAAGCACTACCACTGGCTATGCCAGAAAAAGAGGCAATGGATACCCACCACACTTCCAGACTGGCCTTCCCTTTTCTCTCATACGTATCCTTTAAAATGACAAAGGACTCAGATCTGTTATAGTCTGGTTTACATTCAAACTATTTATATATAAGTATATTCATGAGCTAACATCATCATTTCCTTGTCTGCCAGTTCTCTGTGTAAACAGCCCTGAGGCTGAGATGTTATCATTAACCCCACTTGTACTAAAGTCTAAGCTGATATACTTTGATGAAGGAAGACAATTTAAATGGAATGAATCTAAATGGACAGGAGGAAGCACATTTGGTCTCAGACTGGTCAAATGAAACAACACTGTTACCTCTGATTTCAACATTTTTTTCTTCAAATCTTGGTCTGGCTGTATTGTGTTGGAAAAAAGTGAATAGCAACACAGAGGTCAAAACGGCACTCTAGTTCCAGTACATCAGACAATAAGGATACAAACAAAGCTCCTTTTAAGGGCTTCCACTAAAGCATGAAGAAACCCATTATTGGGCCATTAGTATGTTTTCTCTAAAATGGCAACCATTGGCAGTGATGCCACAGTAATGATATGTTACCATGCCCTGCAAAGAGCTCATGCAGGAAAAGGCTGTGGAAGCTCAGTCCCCCTCCTGTTACAGAGAAAGGTCAAACTCCTGTCACTCTTGCTGACATGGCACAAGTACTAATCTCTGTACTTTGCAGTCAACTAGAAGTGGAGTGGGCACATTAGGCGGCTTGTTCAGGGTTCCTGACTGTGCTCACTGTGAATGAACTCAGTCCTACACATGCACGAGCAAAATCCCAGTTTAGACTTTCTTGCCTAAAGGACTTAGGCCTGTCCTTACTTCTAAAATCATAGTCAAATGGTTATGATTTGGCAGCTACCAGAGAAAGACTTTTGTTGAGGCATTTGGCTTCATTCTGCACTGTTGGGATGTTGCCGAAGGCCATGTTAGAAAGACAGAAAAGAGGTGAGATAAGAAAAAACAAATCTTACTGGAGATCTTTTCAGAACTTCTACATTGCTGAGCAATTTAGTTATTGACTCATCACGTGAAAATAATTACAGGCGTTATCAGTTAGATTCAACTGTGTATCATGTTTTTCTATTTGATGTTGACTTGGGGATTCTTCTAAGAATTACATATAGTCATGGAGAAGAGAAAATTAGTTTTTCTGTAAGAATTTTATTCTTTAGAGTGAACCATCACTTTAGAGAAATGAATTACAATGTTTATTTAAAATATATTCTCAGAGTTTTCTAAATTACAAATGATATTCTAAGATATTTTTATCAGTCTTCATGTAAAATTCCAGTCTTTTTCTACTTGGTAACAAAAACAGGCAGCACTTTCCCTTTTTTTATATCTTGTTCCTCAATTTATTGTATATATTGCCCCACTAAAGAAACCATAAACAACTTTGCAGGAATATATTTCTATATAGTTATCAATTCTGGCAGTTGTAATGCCATTTTATTTCCAGTAATATTTGTTGTTCTAGTTTATTCTTTCATAGTTTAGGAGGAAATTATAAAAATAACAGTGCAACAGGATTTTCTTTTCTACTTTGCTTTTCTCATTGGTGGCATATTACATAGTCACTCAAATCTGTGTTGTGATTTTCTTTGGCAACATATTCCAGCGCTCCACAATATTGTGGAGGAAAAATGTTGCAGTTCTTCATTATTATTATATCTAGATTGCACAATGTTGAATCCTTATTTCGAAGCTAGGTTTAACGTCCCAGGAAGGTAGGGAGTAAGGGGAGCAGACACTATGAAGGAGAGACTAGGACTGATTTATGGTGAAAAAATAGGAGGAGGCATTCTTTAAAAATCTATCAACTCCTGAGTAAGGCTTGGAAAAAGAGTAATCTAGATTTTAGCCATTGTTACTGAGCTGTATAATTTAACCGATTTGGATATTTTTCAATAATTTATGGATCTTCAAAGAATAAGACTGAAATCACAAGTTCTCCAGTAAAGGATAACAGAGTTGGAAGAAGGGGAGAGAGAGAGGGGTAAGGGGAGGGAGGGAGGGATGAACATATTCAATCAACTGTTTCTCTGTTTCCTGTCATTTTTGGTGTCTACACGGTTTTATCATACTTGGTGGTGGCCAGTTTTTGTTTTTGTTTTTGCTTTAACATCTGCGAGACACTAAAAAGAAACCTTTATAAAACTTTAAGCCACTTGAGAAACTTGCATTCTATTACATTTAATCTGGGAAGTACTTTGAGGAAGCTTAGTATTTTGCATTTTGCCCTCTGTCTTTAGGGGCAATGTAATAAAATAGCTGTAATAATAAGGAAAGGAAATGGGGAAGAAATCATGTGACCAAATGACTTAAGGAGAAGCATGTTTTCCTGGTGTTCCCATTCATTTATCTCTACTGTATAATGCATTTTTCTTGTTTTACTGGGTAATTAAACCTTCAACACTCCCAAGTTTGTAAGGAATCTGAATCCCATTATGGGGAGATGCCTGAGTTTGATTCCCTTGTATTATTATCAGACGCTGGTCTCTTTCAAAGGGAATGCTTTTGATAATGTTTGGAGAGGTCTCTAAGGAGAGTACCTATTCTTGGCAAGTTAAGCACTGTCACATGTCTTGGCAGGGTTTGCTGAACTTTTAGGTTAACTCCTACAGCTGTTTCTACCCTTCCCACCTAAATTTTGTTTTAAACTTATTGCCTTGCTGCTTCTTAATAGGGCAGGATCATTTTTCAGAGGTAGAGCTATTCTTTTCTTTCAAGTTACATTTTTATGAAAAGGAAAAAAAGAAGAATCCACATCAAAGCCCTTATGGGAGAGACCACAGGTTTTCTGCATGTGTCTCCTCTAGTGTAACAGTAGTCTGCTATCCATCCTAGAGATGAATTACGTACTTAAAAGTTACACTTTCTAATCTGACCCTTTGGTTTTAAAGCCAACTTTTGCGTCATATGTCTTAAATCTGAAATGCACAGCAAGGATTATTATTTACATTTATTTGTTTTCAGATTGAGGTAACAGAAAGCTCCAAACTTCTGTTTTGAATGTTGCCTTTCTTTTGGACACATAGACCTTGCACCTTTCCCCAGTCCCTATCCTTTTTTTTTTTGTTTGTTTGTTTTAAATCCTGAATCAGCCAAGTGGTTCTAAAGGTTTTTTTGTTTGTTTTGTTTTGTTTTTCTGGAAAAAAATCACATCAGCGGTCAACTATATATCCGACCCAAGAATGTGCTCCATCTGCAAAGTAGGAGATGAGGTAATTTCACAATGGGCCAGTCTTGAACCAGAGCTTTATTGATGCTTCCAGAAACAGAAGATACAATTTGAAAGGCTTGAATACTCTTTTTGCTTTCTTAAAAAAAATCAGGAGAAAATTATATTCTAAGACCTCAGTAACTAAATTAAATAGTGAATAAACATGTGAAGCAAGATTTTTACATCTTGAAGTTTTTTTTTTTAAAGAAATCACTAACTTACTTGAGTTTTCAAAAATACATTGAAATTGGGGAAAAAATATTCTAGCTAAAAGAAATAATAAGGCATTGACATATTATGGGATTTGGGAGCAATGTGATGTTTTTATTCGTGTTAAATGATTTCACAGGTAATAAGACTGAAAGAAAAGTAAAATTCATATTCCTTATCTTTATGAAAAATCTTTGGGTAGCATTTTAATATATTTCTTAGGAAAGGAACAATATTAAATGACTAAAAAAATATAGGGTTTTAACAGTAGGCATTGTGGTTTAATAGAAAAATATCATTTGATTCTTTGGGTGACCTGCATTATAGAGGGCATTACCATGAACTGTGAACATAGATTGTGCACTCAGCTTCTAAGTCCTAATGTCCATCACTAATATTGATTAGGCTCTAATGTTCTATAATTCTATAAAAATATATTTTCTGATTATAAATTTTTGCTAGAAATCTAATTGACCTGGCTTGTATTGCTATCATAATCCTGATTCCAGTACCCCTGCCTCCATATCTGGAGCCTGGACTGCATATTTTAACACCAAGCATAATTTGCTCCCTTTCTCTCGCCCCAAATAAAACAGAGAAATTTTCTTCAAGAGCACTAAAAGCTCAGAAACCAGATGTGGTTTGTGTAGGTATTCATTATGAATTTGCAGCACATTATAATTATAGAGACAGCCAAACCCAAAGGCACACTTTAGAAGAGAGTAATAGGGACAGAGATTTAAGCGATTCTGAAAGGAAAAGACTTCTTAAAAAATATTTAAATGCCTTAATTTTTTTCAGTTTGGCAGAATGGTAATAAAAATTAGGAAGAAGTCGCCTTATCCCTTACCTTAACAAGGAGTTCTGTATTGCTTCGGGAGCCTTTGGTCAGGGTACTCGGCTTACTTTGTGCCCAGTGGCGCAATGCATCATTGGAGTGTCAGCACGCTAATCCCAAATTGAATCCTGGCTGTGCCGTTTGCTAAAACATTAACCGAAGAGAATTTAAAGTCTCTGAGCCTCTTTTCTCCCCTTTAACTATAAAAGAGGATAACAATACCTATCTGGTCATCGTTAGAGTTGGATATAATTTTCACCTGATGCAAATTATGTGCTTAATAAGCAAAAAATGGTAGCGGCACTATCAGTTGTAGTAGTTGAATACACGTGTCCTTTGAGGGTGGTATGGTTTAGCTGCGTTCCCACTCAAATCTCATCTTGAATTGTAAGCCCCATAATGGCCAAGTGCTGTGGGAGGAATCTGGTGGGAGGTAATTGAATCACGGGGATGGTTTCTTCCGTGCTGTTCTCATGATAGCGAGTTCTCACCAGATCTGATGGTTTTATAAGCATCTGACCTTTCCACTGCTGGCAGTTATTCTCCTTCCTGCTGCCACGTGAAGAAAGAAATGTTTTCTTCCCCTTCTGAAATGATTGTAAGTTTCCTGAGGCCTCCCCAGCCCTGCAGAACTGTGAGTCAATTAAACCTCTTTCCTTAATAAATTACCCAGTCTCGGGTAGTTCTTTATAACAGCATAATAGACTAATATAGTGGAATAAATTGAAAATCTCTGGAGCTTGTTAATCAGAGTATCATAAACAGAAGTTGGAAACATGAGTCATTATCTGTGCTGGGTATTGCTGAGGGGCACATGCTATCAGAAATCTTTAGGGAAAGCTTAAACCATGAAAGGTAGAGAGATGTATTAAGAGAAAATAAAAGGTTAATCGTAAAAACTCCACCTTTTAATGATGGCAGCCTCCAGGAGCCTGCCTAGCTTTAAGGAATTTGGAAATCGCCTTGTATCCTTCAGATCCGATGGTATTGTGAGACAAAATATATTTTAGTGTAGTAAATTTATTATTTTTCTAATATAACAGCTATCCTATGTGCTTATAGTGGATGTTGATATTTTTTTTCCTGTCAGGAACCTTTCCATCTTTTCTGAGAGCACCCCCTAATGTTCTTTAGGAAAAAATCTGTCCCCTTTCCTGGTCTCAGCCAAGTGGTTTGCATGAGATTGATGCTACACTCTGCTCCTTGGGGTGTGCCTTGAATAGCTAAGCCAATTGGTACACGGAATTACATCTTTTAACAGGGAATTATTTTGGAGAAAGCACTTGAAAACCTGTAAGCTTTCTTAAGGTTTCAAGACCTGTACTTGGAATGCTGGGTCATAGACTCTTTTCCCCTCTGGACTTAAAGAAGTGAGAGCCTTCAGATTGCCTGAGCAGAAAAGTCCTGAATAAAGTAATCAACAGGGCAAAAGAAGAGCATAGAGAAGTGACAGTGGGATAGTCTACCACTTTCAGTGTGCATTGGCCAGTTAACAAACATACTGAAGTTTTATTTTTGCTTGCTGTATTATTTCACTAAGTGCAAAACTTCATTAGTAAGATGGAAACTTGCCTAAAGAGAGCCTTACCTGACATTTTGGTTATGTGAGCCCTCAAATATGTTTTCTTTGTATAAGCTAGTTTTGCTTGGGTTTTCTGAAACTCTAAAGAGGCTAATGCTATACTTGTTGATGATTAAAATTTAGAAATCAGCAAAGAGAAAAAAATACATCGTTTATAATCTTTATATCAATAAGCCAACATATATTTTGGAATATGTATATCCAGTCATCTACTTCTGTATGTTCATGTATACATTTAAATATTTGTAAAATGGGAATAATTCAATATAGTATTTCTTGTGATTTTTTTACTAAAATTATAGTCATTTAAAAATATATCATTGTTATACTGTAATGTTATTTTTAGTGATTTCATAATTAATTGTATAGATATACTGTAATTTACTTAGACAATTTTATCTAACATAATAAATTGCAACTGTATTTTCACTATTAAAAGCAATGCTATGATGAACATATTTTTACATAAAGGTTAGCACATATTCTTAAGCGTTTTCAAAGGAAAAATTCTGAAAAGTGAATTTGATGATCAATGAATTAGCATGTTTTTAAGATATTGATACACAATCATGCATCATTTTACACTGGGGATACATTCTGAGAAATGCATCATTGGGCAATTTTACGATTGTGCAAACCTTATAGAGAATACTTACACAAACCTAGATTGTGTAGCCCTACCATATTCCTAGAGGCTACAAATCTGTACAGCATCTTATTGTACTGAATACTTAGGCAGTTGTATTATAATAATGATATTTGTATATCTAAAATACCTAAAGAAGATGTAGCAAAAATATGGTATTATAATTTTATGGGATTACCATCATATATGTTATCCATTGTCGACTGAAATGTCATGAGTTATGATGTTGTGCTTGACTGTTTCCATGTGGCTTCCAGAATATATATAACAATTTATATTTCTACCAATAGTAATTGAGAGTTCCTATTCTCACAAAACATTTTATACTCACAAAAACATCATTATTATTATAGAACTCTGTTAATATGATAGATACAAAAGGCTAGCTGTAAGTTACATTCCATATGTAGATGTGTAGACATGGAGTGAGTTTTTGCAGCTAGTACTGTGCATAAGGAATTATTTTTTCTCTTAAAGCTGAAAGAATTTTGAATTATGGTCACATTTATATGGAACTGCAGGACTAAATAAGTTGGTGATTTTAGTTGAACAAATAGTTTTATGTATTTTTGCTGATTTTTTAAATCTATATTACCTATTTTTAAAGGTAGGACACTAAACCCGTTGAGAAAGTGTAGTAGAGAAGAAGAAAATAAAGTACTCTATACAGTAGCAACCAATTGTTTATAATTGCATTCAACATAGTTTACCTTGCCAAAATATAAGGTATGTATAAACTTTTATGAATATGTGATTCTATGAAACAGGTAACATCCTCTATTTCATCTAGAGTTATTTTCTACTATTGTTATTACTATTCAGCTAAAAGCATTTTTAAAGGTTATTTTTAAAAAGATGATCTTGTTACCTGACGTATTTCTCTTTCAAAGGCCAGAGTAGACATGCTTTCAAGGATTCTTAGCAAAAGAATTGAAGAAAATACAGAGGAAGATAGAGAACATAAGGAGAGGCAGGTTCAAAGTAGCATTGAATGATTTGACCCAATTGTGCCCCTAAGTCACCCTGTTTGGTCAAAGAAAGTGTGCAGGTCCTGACTTTAAAGGCACCAAACTTCCCTGTCTTGAAGGCTGAGTGATTGGGGTCACCAGAATGTAACATTTCAAAATATTCGTCTGGTTTGGCCGAAATATCCTCTTAGCAACTCACTGATTCTTTCCGGTCAGGGTTAAGGTACATATGACAGCACTGTTACTGACCAGAGAATTATCAGATCCCCAAAGATGTAATTGCTAGCAATATAAGGGCTGTAGCAGAGAGAGATGATTTTTTTTTTTAATCCTATTTCAAAAATGGCTATACCTTTCTCACCTTGACAGGGAAAGTAGATCTTCTTGAAATGCTTCCACTAGCTTCTTTGTGTGGGTGACCATGAACACTTGAAGACAGAAACCTTCCTGATCCCTACAGCTATTTCCGTTAACTCCTTGAAGACCAAACAATGTGTGTGCTCAGCTGCTGAACCGTTTTAATGAGGTGCCACTGATTTTAATGGGGCAAAAAAGATGGATGATTTACACCAGATGTCCATAAGGGCCATTCGGGGATTGCTTTGCCGGACACATAGTACATCATGTTGCTCGTTGAATTCTTAAGGGGTTAACTTGACCTTTCCTTTAACACGGCACTAAAAATAATGTAATTTCCATTCTCGGTGTCTCTTTTATTTATATAGAAAAGCTTCATGACAAACCCACTAGGCCTCTGAGAGCAAGTTTCTCATTTATGTCTTTGCCATCCATAAACCCTAGTGGGTGATTTTGAAAGTGGTAATAGACACCAGTGGATGCTTTACCCATGAGCACGAACGAGGCTTTTATTATCAACACTTCTAACATTGAATCATTCCAAGATGAAAGATTATTTTCTAAAGACTTTTGGTCAGTGTTGTATATTTTATTTCTAAAAAGTTTATTTCCGCTCAAATAATCAATACCCATGCCCCTTGGAATATGAAAGTGAAATTAAAAATACAAAGCATAAGCATAAACATTCTTTGAGACATATTAGGCATTACATTACATTATTATTCCTTATTTTCCAGATTCTGGTGAAATATGCTTCTTCACTATTTATTAGTTATAAGATGAAAACTTGACTTTTTTTTTTTAAGACTGAGTCTTGCTTTGTCACCCAGGCTGAAGTGCAGTGGCCTGATCTCTGCTCTCTACAACCTCCACCTCCCATGTTCAAGTGATTCTCTTCCCTCAGCCTCCTAAGTACCTGGGATTACAAGCATGCCTCACCATGCCTGACTAAGTTTTGTACTTTTAGTAGAGATGAGGTTTCACCATGTTGGCCAGGCTGGTCTTAAACTCCTGACCTCAAGTGATCCACTGCCTTGGCTTCCCAAAGTGCTAGGATTATGGGTGTGAGCCACCTTGCCTGGCCAGGATTCTGAATTCAGAGCATATTCTGGTTAAGAACAGAAGACCAAAGATCTGAGTGTTAACATTTTGCCTCTTGCTTGGATCCAACAACTGAATTTCACATGCTACCCTGAGGTCATTATGCTCTTATGCCAACTCCTTATGAATAAAGAATGTATTTGTTTGGTGGTTATCATGATCTTTGCAGTAAGTGAATCTTCATATTTTGTCATATATTTCCTTTGAAAATCCGATATTATAGCTGATCGCAAGATAAATCTAGACCTCAAAGGCTCCTAACAATCAACCAATCATGGAGGCATATTTTTGCAGAGGATTGAAAAAACAGCTAAACAACAATTCACAATTTCTTTCTTTTTTCTTCTGCTGCATTTTTAGGTTTTACCTATAAACTTGGATTCTAGATGAGGAATTTCATTTTGCCTTAAAGGTGGCATATGAATATCAAAATATAAAATTTCATAGTGAAAAATAATTTTCATATTTTTCTTCTTGTAAATTCAAATTT